GGGGATCTCTGCCCCTGTGACTTTGCAGGGTACAGCACCTTTGGCTGCTTTCACAGGCCGGTGTTGAGTGCCTGCAGCTTTTCCAGGATCACAGTGCAAGCTGTTGGTGGATCTACCATTCTGGGGTCTGGAGGATAGTATCCCTTTTCTCACAGCTCCACTAGGCAGTGCTGCAGTGGAGACTCTGTGTAGGTGATCCAATCCCACATTTCCCCTCTTTACTACCCTAATAGGGGTTCTTCATATGAGCCCTGCTCTTGCAGCAGACTTCTGCCTGGTCAAAGTCATTCAACAAGTCTCTAGGAAGTTTCAAACTCTCCCTCAACTTCTTGTCTTCTTCTGAGCCTTCCAAAACTGTTCCAACCTCTTCCCATTACCCAGTCCCAAAGCTGCTTCCGCAGCTTTAGACGGCCAAAGCTCTGCCCCTTAGACATCCTATAAGATATTGTGAGCAGCATTTGTTGTCCCAGAGTGAAGTGGAGAGAAGCAAGAAACTCTTTGGAAGGGATCATAAATGGGAAGAAAGAAGAATCAGTTCAGACCCAGGTGAGTTTTCCATCAATGCCTACTTCGAGGATTTCTTATTTTCCTTCTCATTTCTGAGGAAACTTATTTCTAGGTTACAGCTTTTTAACTTTCCCCCTTCTTGATAATTCTCTTTAAATAATTTTATCATATTATTATCATTTTATGATATATAATTAGATATTATTTGTTATATTGTGTTTATACTTATTAGTATATATGTATACATTTCCCTTTCCTTACCTTTTTCGTAAAGAAAATATGTACCCTTGTACATCCAGGGGCAGGAGTTTTAGGGAGAATGAAGGGTTAGGGTGGCTTTCTCTGCTCCACCTCTTGGTTAATCCTAATGGACAGGGACTAGTAGCCCATGGTGGTGGTTGGAACCGGGGAGCTGGCCAGCAGGAACCAGCAGGGCAGTGACTGGGTAGTTGAGAGAGGCTCTCAGAATGACACAAAAGGGTACATAAACAGATAATTTAGGACAGGGAGTAAGGTTAAGAAATAGCATTTTTATTTTATGCTAGAAGAATTGCATATCTGAAATGTAGAGAAGCTGACACTTGGATTATACAAGGTTAAATATTGGCCCTCTGATATGGTTTGGCTCTGTGTCCCCACCCAAATCTCATCTCTTAGCACCCATAATCCCCACGTGTTGTGGGAGGGACCCAGTGGGAGATGATTGAATCATGGGGGCGAGTCTTTCCCATGTTGCTCTCGTGATAGTGAATGGGTCTCCTGAGATCTGATGGTTTTAAAAACAGGAGTTTCTCGGCACAAGCTCTCTCTTTGTGCCTGCCACCATCCACATAAGATGTGACTTGTTCCTCTTTGCCTTCCACCATGATTGTGGAACTGTGAGTTCTCCATTAAACCTCTTTTACTTGTAAATTGCCCAGTCTTGAGTATGTCTTTATCAATAGCATGAAAATGAACTAACACACCCTCTAAAGGAGTTAGGGGGAAAGTAAAGATAAAACAAAACAGAAAATATTTTGAGTTTTTGTTTTGTTGCTCATGCTATCCAAAGAGAAAAGATAAGAAAATCTGTTATTTGGTGTGTGAGGTGGTTCTTCTGAAGCAAACACTGTAAAAGACAAAGTTAAACAGGCAAAAATGATTTTATTTAAGGTTATTGCAATCAGGAGGAGAGGCCAGAACTCAGCCTGAACTCAAGTCACTGAAACAAAGGAAATGGGAGGGTTTTTAAAGGTTGGGGTGAGCTAATGCCAACTACTGGAGGATATTAGGGGGGAATCATAGGCCATCTGTGTTTGCTAATTGGCTTAATCCAAAGCAAAAATAAGCTCATATCTTTATGATAGGAGGTGTTTTTGCAAATTGGAGCAAGCTGCTTACCACCCTCAAAGGTAGCTCTGTACACTCCTTCCACAGAAACTAGTAGATACAGGCACTATTTGCCTTAATGATTACATTTCAAAGGGACGTCCCCCAGGTCACTGAGAAAGACAGTCCTGGGTTGTTAAACTGGCAAGAGGCTTCTAAAAGGATTAAGAGCTCAAATGGATATATAAAGAAATTAGAGTTACATATTCTAAAGTAAATGCTCCACAAAAAAGGAGGTTAGGGGCCTAGAGTTAAGAAGCTTATCTACAGTTCAGTTGAGCCCAGTGGAAGGTTAAGGCCATAAAACCATCTTGGTCAGTCCAAATAACTGGTTATCCAAACCAATGGTTAAGACCAGTGCAGAAGAATGTACAAGTCTGGTTAATGCTATCCTAGGGCTTCCCTAAAATCTTTGAGAAGCAGAAGGCTTAATCCTACAGCCTGGATGGGACCGATTATTTGCGTGGTATCTAGTGGGTTTTCTGTGAGGGATAAAGCATTGTTGCCACTTATCAGTACTGTGGTGGAAGTATACTTGGTCATCAGAATGAGGTGGACTATGAAAGTTCTAACCATTGGGCAGTGGAGCTGAGACTTTCTGCAGAAGGACAGTAGTAGAGCCTTAGATCAATCCTGTGACACCAGAAGATTTTGCATCCCTGAAAGGTGATAAGAATCTACTCTGGACAACAGGAGGAGGCAATGGGTTTTGAAGATGTGGGTTTGAGGTGAAATTGGAACACATAAATTGAATTACTTCACAGCTAGGGAGGCTGGAATTCAGTGAGAAAGCCCTAAGCTGTAGTTTTTTGGAATTAGACTGGGTGTAATAGATGATGACAAAACCATAGACTAAGGAGTCCCTAAGGAAGATATAATCCTTTAATCTTACTTATTGTCTTCTCCCAATGTTAGTTCAACTGAAACTTGGGGGAGTTTGGAAGAAATAAAGATATTCTAGCCTTAATTCTTTCCTGCAGCACTTGGTTTTCCTCTGTGTGCTTCAGGATTAAGCAATATTTATAGACATCCCTCTGTTATCTTGTTTTGCATCTATTAAATAGAGCCATAATATGCAATTCTCTTTATCTTAGAATATTTTCCTTCAATTTTACATAGTTAAAATATTGGATTTGTGGCATTTTATTTTTTGATTCCTCAATGACAAAGGGGTCATCATTAATACCTAATGTCACAAGATTCAGAAAACACAAATTTTGGAAATTTCCTCCTCAAGTCTGCTTTCCTTGAGTAATTATTTGTTTAATGGCTTTTCCTGTAGTGTGTCTAAGTTCCATTAGGGTAATGATGATGCCAATAGTTTTCACAGCTGTACCTCCAGGGCCCCTCACAGTTCCTGACAAATCAGAATCCCAGACTGTAGAAGGCCTATGGGAACTCACCTTATGAGTGATGCTCTGCTAATAAAATTTGCAGCAAAACAAAGTAAAAAAATGTAAATTATTTATTCTCAGATGGGAAGTAATTTCACACTTATTATTTTTGAATGTCATAAAATGAGTCCGTGGCTTTGAATTTACAACACTCACATCCATATAGTGGCTGAGAAGAAGCCAAATTAAAATAGCATTTATTGGGTGGCTTATCTGGCTCAGTTTTCAAAGCTGTTTAAGTGTTTGTTCAATTAAACCTCCAAAGAGCACTTGATGGAATGTGTGATTACCCAATAGTGCAAATGGGAAAATTCTGTAGTCCAGATAGAAGAAATTACTTTCCAAGTTGACAAAACATTAGAACTTGATGTTCCGTTTCTGTGTTCAGAATCCTTTCTAAACAACAGGATGCATCTACCTTTCCAAACTGGGGAGCAAATGATTTACTCAGGAAGATAACAGGGTGTTTTCAAAATATTTCATATAAGTATGGAGCCCAAAATTACAAGTATGGAGCTCAAAAATTGGATGAAAGCCACCACCTGTCTCATATTTTAGGTGACATAAGTTCTTTCTGGAAGTTTTCAGTGGGTTTATTTACAGGCATTTATTAAAATTAAACATTAAAAGACAAATTAATTGAGGTAAATAAAAATGTGCCTATGCTAGCACTATTAATAACAATAAAAATTGGCATCAATCTAATTGAGCAACAATTAAAGAATATTAGTATAATTAAAATCTATATAAGTGATGAAATTTGAGACCAGACATCTAAATTCATATTCAATATAATTATATTTAGAGATCAAGAAAATGTAATAGTGCATTTCTAAGTGAAAACATAATATATATTATAAAAGTTGAATATTATAATAAAACATATATGTACATGTGTGATTATGTATATATATTAAAACTAGAAGAATATAATTATATATATATTTATATATATATTTAATAGGTACCTCTGAGCTGTGAGATTTTACACCTTTTAATTTTATTTGAATATTTTTTGTTTTGTATATTTCTATTTCATTTTGTATGTTTCTGTTTTTTTTATATTTCTATTTAGCCATTTCTATTGGTATGTTTCTACTTGCTCCACCTCCCTCCCTTTTGTGTATATTTCTATTTTATAAATTTTCTAAGTGAGCATATATTTTCTTTGTATAAAAAGAATAGCTTTTTACAGAAGGAATGGTAGAGGCCAGAAGTTCAGATAACAGGAGGAACTTAGCTACAATAACATATCTTCCCTTTTAAAATGGCAAAGGCTCTGGGTTACTACAGGCACAAGGCTGGATCTACTGCAAATGGTATCCAAGGATGTCAATCTGTCACTGCAACCTCCTGTACCAGCCTTCTCTTTCTTAGATGTTTCCACACGTTTTTTCATTCTGGTCCTAATACTGGTCCTGGTCCTGATACTAATTATTGTTGTGAAACATGTTATATTCTTTCTGCTTGCTCTCTCCTACTGTGGTATGTTTTCTCACATGACTGACTCTCTTGAATTGCCTGCTAACGGCTGCCCTTTCCAGTGATCTGTTCTAACCCCTCTCAGGTCTTCCCCTGCTGAGGTTTGATGCAATCTGAAAGATGGATCTCCAGGGCCTGCTCAGTCCAGCACACCATGCCTCAGTGACTTTTCTCTCCTACGCAGCAGTTACTCTATTTCCTCCTGGGGCCCTAGTACATGCTTCTTAAAATGAGCACATTATATTCCTCTTCCTTTTCTCTTCTTTCTGAGGTGGGTCAGCTGTGGCATGAGGGATGGAGAGAGTGGGCCTCTGTGTTTTGCTTTAGCTTTCTGGCGGCAGCTGAACTTCTATTGTTCCTGTTCCACTTCTGGAGGAACCCAGGGAAAATATCAGGATGAGATGGGGGTGTGTTTAGCCAAACATGGTGTCCCAGATTGTGTCAGGAGTAGGCACGGTAGGCAACCTTGCATAGTGTGCAAAGAACTTCAGTCATCCTGAGAGTAGAATACTCTGGCTACATTTTAATGTCTTAAGTAACACCTGTCACATCATAGCGTATCAGCAGAGTTTATATAAATTATCCATTTATACGTGTTGCAGACAGAGATAAAAGCCTAGAGAACATATGGAAAGACCAGGCTACTTTTGTAGAATTAGGAATGGAGGAACAGTTAAATGTGGCCCTTGGTCAGACCCCGGAAACTGCAGATACTATTCTCTGGGGTCAGAAATGTTGCTACAAGGAAAGTCCATCCCGAGGGAGTATTTCCTCACTGACTTTTCCCATTCTATGTCTGGATTAAAATAGCTGTGGGACCCCAGTGAGATGGCAGAGAATGATTTTTCTCCCTGTGAATGTCCTCAAAGAGTCTAGGATTCAATGTCAGATAGCCAAGCCAATGTCTCAGTATAGCCAAGAATGCCTGAATCATCAGAAATTTTTGTCTTAATCCAAAGAGATATTCTTTGCTTGATGAGCAAATACAGACCTACTCCATTTATTGAGAAGTTCATGTTGTCCAGAGACCTCAATAGCCCCATCTTTTTTTTTGCATCCCCTCAAAAAATAAATTTAGGTGAAGTTTTAGGTAAGGAGTTGCTTCTTCATGACATGTAAAATGTTTTTCCACTAAAATAATACAATTACGCCCATAGAGTAACCTATGATTTACCTCTGAGTATTCAAAGATCTGTTACTGAGCCCTATACTTTTAATCAAGATAGTTATTCAGTTTAAATTTTTAAACATTTGTTTCTGAGGAAGAATGGAATAGGCTTTCCAAATACATGGTACTGAGGATACAATGGGCAGGGTGGAGATGGCTCTTTATTGTAAAAGTCATCTTAAATCCTGATTGTCTCACTTCAGTAATTGTATTAGAGGGAAACAACCTGAGACAATATCTCGGAGCATCATTCCAAGGACATACCAGGAGGAAAAATGACCAGATCTTTCCCAGTATTCTCACTTTTGTCCTTTGTCTTGATACATTTGGTGTTATCTTCTGGTGAGTAATTTAGCTGGCCTTGGCCAGAAGTTGAAATTGATTTGTGGGATTTTACATTGTAATCTGAGAGGGAATGCTTTGAAATTGTTCTTTAACTGGAATTTATATATATATACACACACACACATACAAATTATCCACTGACATGTGTTGCAGTGTATATATATTTATATATATATTTATTCAGAGTATATATACATATGTATTTATATATACACTCAGAGTATATGACAAAATGAAGGTCTCTGCCCATTGAATCAGTCTTGTAGACTCTCTCTCTCTCTATATATATATGCACACACACACATACATATATATACACACACACATATATATACACAGCATATTCAGAGTATATGTCTACACATACTCAGAGTGTGTGTGTGTATATATATATATATATAGAGAGAGAGAGAGAGAGCGAGTCTAAAAGACTCTGATTCAATGGGAAGAGACCTTTGTTTTGTTATCTTTTGCATGCAGATTATGAGATTTAACTCATGAAGGGAAGGATGCTTGGGTAACTCACTGAGGTAACATGTAAAAGTGACTAACAATATAATATGCATACATCAGAGCACATCTTGAAAATTTAGAGTGTTTGAAAATGATTTGCTGTATATTTGACTGGACCATTATCCTTTATGTTCTCTTCTAGAGGAGAAATCATGTAGGGAGTCATACAGAGGCCTAGCCTCAAGGGCTGCAGAGCTTGCTTTTTCACATATTTACCAAGAATTCCTGAGTATTACCCAGGTGTCTTTTCACTCCTGAAAAATATGAGGATTGGGCCAAAAGATTACTTTAAAGTTACAGCATTGCTTGTTTCTTTCATACATAACCAGCTCTAAATCCTCTCAAGTCCAAACTAATCAGAAAAATCATTTAGTACTTTGGACTGCCAGCCTTTATGAAACAGTGACACATCTATATAGTCTCCTACTGATATCAATTAGGAGTAAAAGAATTATTTCACATTTTAAAAAATGAATGAGTACATGTATAAATGAAATAATGTTTTCCATTCCTGCAAGCTTCCTTGATAATAAATTAGAACTCTTTCATTCTGCCGACAGATTAAGCTATGATTTAACAGGAATTAAATTCTGTAACTATTTTCATATATTCTCTAGTTTCAGGCCCTAGACACTGGTGGCCACCACATGGAATTATTAAGGTAATCTTCCATTAAATTTCCCCCCAGGACTGACATTATAATATGAGGTCTTTTTTTTTGGAATTGTTACTGTGGAAACTTAATGCATCAGGGTCACCCGTAATAGTCTTTAAGGCCTGTTTGTATGAGGGTGGTGGATACACTGCTGAAACAGCCTGGAATCAAGACAACATTCAGTCATACATATACCAGAGAACCCTCTGTAGTGCCCGAAAAATGTAGAGTATTGGCAATTGCTGGGAGCACGACAGGTTCTTAAGAGCCTATGGACTTGGGTATAACATGGTCCTGGCTCTCAAGGAGCTCACAGTTTGATGGAAAGAATGACTTAAAAGAATGCTCCTGGCCCCGCGCGGTGGCTCAAGCCTGTAATCTCAGCACTTTGGGAGGCCGAGACGGGCGGATCACGAGGTCAGGAGATCAAGACCATTCTGGCGAACACGGTGAAACCCCGTCTCTACTAAAAAATACAAAAAAAACTAGCCGGGCGAGGTGGCGGGCGCCTGTAGTCCCAGCTACTCGGGAGGTTGAGGCAGGAGAATGGCGTAAACCCGGGAGGTGGAGCTTGCAGTGAGCCGAGATCTGGCCACTGCACTCCAGCCTGGGCAACAGAGCAAGACTCCATCTCAAAAAAAAAACAAAAAACAAAAAACAAAAAACAAAAAACAAAAAAGAATGCTCCTAAATGTCTTGAGATGTACAGAGAATGCTTATGCAACTTGTGAATGCAGAAGGCAACTTCTGGATATGGATGGAAGAAAATGTGAAGAAACAGTAGATATCTTAACAGAGCCTCAAACTATGTTTGCAACTTGGATGAGGGCAAAATGGAGACACCTTTTGATGTCATCGATATTTGATAAGTGAGGGAAAAGATGAATGAGGGATTAAACTTTTCATTTTGATTCATATTTGCATCACTGTATTCCTTCCCTTTAGAGATATTAGCACCTTAAGCTTTTGTCTAATTCGTAAATTTTAAATTTTATTTCTTCTTTGTAAAAAAGTCAGTCATGAGTTGACTGTTGAGAAAGATATTTTGAGGGCAGCTCTACCTTCAACAGACCTGGGGATCAGAATGTGAAGCTTGTCAGAGGCTACTGCCCCAGGAAAAGGATCTGCAGAATTTGTCCAGGATTTATACTCTGGTCTCATAAAGTTCAGTTCTGGAATTTTCTTTTCCAGAAGTTTACCTGCAGGATGAGTTCGCCTCATGCCCATAAATCCATAAACAATAATAAAGGCAATCACTTTTACTTATTTTCTTTAAAAAATATTTATTAATCACCTGTGCTGTGCCCTAAGATACACTATTGAGGAAAGCAGTTATATTCTTTTTCCTCATGAACCTTGCAGATAGCCAAAAAGGGAAGAAACCAGCTATGATTTATGGTAAATTTTATAAATACAAGAAATAAAATGGTATGATAGAAAATATCTGTTGAGCATAGAGATAATTGCTATAAACAATGGGTTCAGGCAAGGTTTCTCTGTCATGTGGATATCTAAGGTGAGACTTGAAGGATAAAAAGGAGCCACCCAAGTGGAAAGTAGGGAGAAAGACCTTACCTACCTGGGTCACTAATTGAAGCCCTGTGTGACTGGAGCACAGACAGAATCCCACAAGGGTGGGATTCTCACCTGAAGAATGCATATCTTCCTCCAAAGAGAGAGAGAAAAAAGAAACTGTCTTTATAGACAACAATAGAAACTGTTCTTCCTCTTGTCTTTGATAAACTGTATATTCCTTCAGATTCAACTATTTTACATCTCATTTATGCATTTGGCAAATGTTCATATAGCAATGACTAATGCCAATATATGTGCTGGGCACATAATGACTAGCCTAATCAGACACAAATCTTTCCCTTCTGGGCTTATAGTCCTTCGGGGGTGTGGGATTAGTTAAATAATTACACAAATGCTTTGTTACAAACTGATTAAAAGTATAAAAACAAATAACAGAGAGTTGTGACTGTATTTTAATAAATAGTTCTGAGAAAGTGGGTTATAACCTGAGCTCTAAAGATAGACAGAGTTTAGGTTGAGAAAAAATATATTTGGTGGGGTGGTCATGACACTTCAGAAGACCCTGAGGGGAGGGAAAGATAAAGAATTTATATATATATAAAAACTAACTAACAAACTTACTAAAAGGACAGAAAGCAAGGTAGTATCAGGTAAGGGCAGAAGATTTGGGAGGTTCCAGGTCACACAGGGACTTTTAGCTCATAATAAGAAATACTTTTTTATAATATGCAATGAGGTTCAACGAAAGACCTTAATCAAGGAAATAAAATTATTCAATAGAAGTTTAAAATGTGAAACTTCAGGAAATGAGGAATAAAGGAAATGGAGGGATTAGTCGGGTAACGATGGTGGCCTGGTCATGATGGTGGTGTTGGATAAAAAGAAGGAAGAGGAATTTCTAAGTTAAAATATGACCCCTTCTTTCCAAATTCCTAGCCAAAATTTTCTCCTACTTTGTGTGTGGGGTATTTTATCTGTACCAATCTTATGACACTTATGGAGCCCCTGAGAACACTAGCCTCAAGCTTCATAATCCCAGAGTCACTACTTCAATTCATCACCAGCACCGGCATTGTCCAGAGAAGAACTTCCGATGAAAACAAACATCCCTGAGTCCAGTTCCCTGAGGAGACATGTCCCTTTCTTTGTTTTTGACTTTTTCTACAGTGTCAGGGCAATAAGTATTTTAAATTAAGACACGTGCATTCTTCCATTATTGATCTTCAGTTTTCTCTGCTGAGCTGTCATGGAAAATCTCTAACAATCTTTCCAGATCTAATAGTTGGGACATAAAGAAGATTGAGAGAGAAGCCCCAGATAAATCATCTGTTTATCCACTCTTCTTCTTCTTCTTCTTTTTTTTAAACCATAGCATAGTTGGCCATTGTTCTCCTTTACTGAGAAGGTCCTGACAACTAGGGCATCATATTGTTACCAAATGGGATATATATAGGTTCTAGTTGGCTTTGTGGAGATGGGAAAGTGAGAGCTTTTGTGAGAGTGGAATATTGTCCTATGCTTAGATTTTTTTTTTTTTTTTTTTTTTAGATGGGGTCTCACTGTGTAGCCTAGGCCGGAGTGGAATGGTGCCAACATTGCTCACTGCAGTCAAGTGATCTTCCTGCCCCATCCTTCTGAGAAGCTGGGACTACAGGCATGCACCACCATGCCTGGCTAATTTAAAAAAAATTTTTTTTGGAGAGACAGGGTATTGCTCTGTTGCCTAAGCTGATCTTGAACTCCTGGGCTCAAGCAATCCTCCCACCTCCGTCTCCCAAAGTGTTGGAATGAAGGCATGAGTCACCATGCCTAGATTATGCTTAGATTTTCCTAGTAAAGTTCAAAGGTGACCTACCTGTCTAAGTGGGGTTCTAACTGGATAAATCTTTTCAACTCAATTTCAGGTGAAATGTCCATATGAGAAAGTAAACTTGAGTTGGTACAATGGAACAGTCAACCCCTGCCCTGGCTTATATCAACCCATCTGTGGTACCAATTTTATAACCTATGATAATCACTGCATCCTGTGTGTTGCGAGCTTGTGAGTACTATTTGGGGAAAAGACGGGAACTATAAATATGCTTGTCCATTAAAATTACCATCTACCGTTCCTATCAAGTACATCAACCTTGAAGCCAGGAATTTGCTCCAGTTCACACAGATAATAATCATCCCCACTCAGAAAAGCACATAGTAATTGAAAGTCCACTGGATTAGAAAGTAGACTCATTGTACCAAATGACATTCCTCAGGTCCATTCTGGTATCTGAGCCCTTACATTCCCATATACCAATTGATTGCCTTCCACTTGAGAAACTCTCAAATATGCTTTCGGGTCCTGAATTGTTTTTTATTTTAAGACAAATTGTAATTTTGCTTTCTCTTAAATATCTTCACCCTCTTATGTGTTTGAAACTCTGAACTACAATGATGAGTTAATTGCAAAGTTTGGATCTTTTATCTGAGACAGTGTTTAGATTTTTGGATTTATGTGACATAAATCAGTGATTAGATACTGAAATCTTACAATACAATGCTTTCAGCTTTGATTCCTATATGAGTGACTGCATTTCACAGAGAGAAAAATTTTCACCATGGCATCAGATTGGAGCCCTCAGCCCAATCATTTTTTAAATTTTGTGCAAGGAAAAATGACAGGACTGTGCAAAGCTCAGGTCATCCCCATTAGTGAGTAATTCAGCCAAAGTGTAAGAGTATTAACAGAATAGTTGAGAATTGATATGTCTCACACATCACAAACTCAGACTTGATTGCACAGCTTAATTTCAAAAAGAGTGTAGCATATGTCATATCTCCAGTGGCATCTTAGAATCATGGAATGATAACTAAGTAAGAAATCCAATAATTTTGTCTTTTGTCATTAGTCAATTCCCTTTATACTCTAGATCTTAGTTTTTCCAAATATAAAACCAGGTTTTAGATAAGATAATTTTAAAGGTATTTTTGTAGTTCTGACATTGTATTACTTAATGAAATGTTTGTTCTGATACTTCCTTTAGGAAATCTCATGGAAGAATCAGGTTTTACCATGATGGAAAATGTTAGCTGCATGGCCTTGAATGTGGAAGATATCTTCTTTTTTTCCCTCCATGTCTCCAATCTCCCCCTTGCACTTTTTACATCTCCTTGCATTTGTTCTTGACAACAAAGAGCTATCACTATTGAGCTTGTAGCAGATTGTTTAAAGTTCCTTCCATGGACCTCTCCCCTCACTGATTGATTGCCTTCCATAGTCTCCCTAATAAATAAACTTTTATGAAAGTTTGATTTGACTTGGGTGTCAGAGCTAGGTCTAAAAATCTCAGAAGTAGAAGAAATTCAGAATTTGAGTCATGGGTCAAAGGCAAATATTGAGATTAATCATCTCTCTAATGCTGATAACACTGAATTAGTCTATGTCAAGCCTCCGGATTGTCTTCCAAAGAACGTGGCAGAAATTTCTTCCATGTTCCTTTGGCATTTTAAAAAAAAACAAAAAAACAAGTAATGGAACTACAGAACATTGTATTCTGCTTGTAGGATTCCTGTTGCCTAACTTCTGCAAACTCATCATTAAACATCCTCCCTTTTGGACTCAGCCTTGAGACAGAAGTATTTACACATGTGCAGCTTTGATCAACAGGGCCCAACATTCTCACTAATCCATTTTGCCTAGAAGAACACCTACATTGTTGGTATCTGTAAATGTCCCATTGGTCATTAGCCTTTTTCTTAAATTCTCTGGACACATCTTAACCCCTAAAGCATATAGGGACACCTTTTTCTCTGTTACACTTCATATGTATTTTTTACTTCTATATGTACAGCAGATGAATAATACGCACTAATATGCTCTCTTCCCTTCCGAACTTTGCTCCCTACTGGCTTGGGAAAGAGCAGCTATTCTTCCCCTCACTACCTTGCAGGGCTGTGGTCAGAGTGTGCACATGTTCTGTTAGATCTTTGATCTTACGCCCCATGCTGATCACATGGTGAATACATGGCTCCAGTGAGAAGGAAACAATCACTTTTCTTGTGTCATATTTAGAGTTAATATCTCTGGGAAAAACTGGATATTCTCTAGCTTTATAGCATGCCAATTTCCATTGCTCCAAGTCCTGGGCTATGCAAGAACACCAAGAACTTCAGGGATCCTGGGAGGATTGTTTTCTAACATTATTGCTGTATCTTTTTTGACAAATCTTTTCTTCTGCAATAATTAACTTGCTGTTAATGTCATCAAGCGAATTCTTAAAAATCTCAAATAGGCACTTTTAATAGCCTTGCATGAGATCTGAGCTCTGTTATCTCTAATCCTCTCTAATGACTCTCTCCTTGCTTTGGGTAGTTTCTTCACGCACAAGCACCAATTGTTAACCTTCTGATCCCTTTATCCAGCTCTTCTGTGCAGTAGTCCTGCAGATACCAGCCAGTTTAGTCTCTATTTCCTTTCAGCTCTATGTCCTCAACTCATAATTGCTTCATTGAGATTGCTCTTTCTGATTTCTAGAATCTCTTGCATTGCAAAAACCAAGGCCAACTATAGAGTTTAACTTATTTATTTTCCATCTGTTAGGGATCTGTCCTTCAGTGCCTGGTGTCCTAGTGTCATTGTTTTACGTGTTTTGTCTATTTTTGTTGTTTCAGGTAGGATAATATATCTTATCTGGTTTTTCTTGCATCATATTGTTTGAAAGTAGAAGTTGACTTTATCTTTTAGCATGTCATTGTACTTATTTTTTATACTTCTTTTTTCTATGATACCTCCTAAAGTCTAGACTAGAATACGTTGTCATTATTCTACTTTTTCTAAGAATTCCAATGGATGAGATTTGTGCTCTATAATGCTACAAATCTTTTTAGTGGATAAGAAAGCACTGACTTAAACTGTCAATGAATAACAGTAAAAAGATCAGTAAAAATAATATATTTTTCTGTCATTTGATAGTAGGCATTCCCAAAGAGATCAGCATACATCTAAATGCAAGATGGCCTCCTTTTCATGCAACCCCTAAGGATAATTTTCACAGGTCTCTTATGACTGCTAACGTAAAAGGAACGTTCCCCTTTTGTGGTCCTAGCTCTAACAGTCACTGCCTGTGCTCTCATTCTTTCTCTCTCTCTCTCTCCCTTTGTCTTTGGCAGGTGACTTCAAATTCCTCCCTCTGATTCCCTGTATATTTTATCCTTTGGTTATTGATTAGCCCTAGGTTTTAGTCATTGCCATCTTCCAGCCCACCCTGCTTCCTCTGCATGACAAACCCACTCACATCTGTATTACTCTGTTGCCTATATACGTATAACTCACTTACCCACGTCATGAGACTGTACCCACATTCTTAGCATCAGACACTGGACGTCTTTACACACACACACACACACACGCAATTTAATGAGTTTGGACATATGCATACAACCTTGAAAGCATCGTCACAATCAAGGCAGTAGACATATCTATCACCTCTAAAAATTTTCTTGTGACTCTTTGTTTTTATTACTGCTGCTGCTGTTGTTATTGTAAGAAAAAGTAACGAGACCTACCCTCAATCAATTTTTAAGTGCACAACACCGATTGTTAACTATGGGCACTATGTCATATACCAGATCCTCAGAACTTATTCTTATGTAATCAAAATTTTAAAACCATGAACAACAACTCCCCATTTCTCCCTCCCCCCAGTCCCCGGAAACTGTTATTTTATTCTCTGTTTCTATGAAATTTACTATTTTAGATTTTTATTTTACTTTAAGTTCTGGGATACACATGCATAATGTGCAGGTTTGTTACATAGGTATACATGTGTCATGGTGGTCTGCTGCACCTATCAAGCCATCATCTAGGTTTTAAGACCTGCATGCATTAGGTATTTGTCCTAATGCTCTCCCTCCCCTTGCCCCTCACCCCGCAACTGCCCCAGTGTGTGTTGTTCCTCTCCCTGTGTACACATGTACTCATTGTTCAACTCCCACTTATGAGTGAGAACACGTGGTGCTTGACTTTCTGTTTCTGTGTTAGTTTGCTGAAGATGATGGCTTCCAGCTTCATCCATGTCCCTTCAAATGGCAGATTGAATTCATTTTTATGGCTGCATAATATTCCATGGTATATGTGTCCCACATTTTCTTTATCCAGTCTATCACTGATGGGCATTTGAGCTCATTCCAAGTCTTTACTATTGTGAATATTGCTGCAATAAACATACATGTGCATGTGTCTTTATGGCAGAATGATTTATAGTCCTTTGGGTATATACCCAGTAATGGGATTGCTGGGTCAAATGATATTTCTGGTTCTAGATACTTGAGGAATCACTACACCGTCTTCCACAATGGTTGAACTAATTTACATTCCCACCGACAGTGTAAAAGAGTTTCTATTTCTCCACAGCCTCACCAGCATCTATTGTTTCCTGACTTTTTAATAATCACCATTCTGATTGGCATAAGATGGTATTTCACTGTGGTTTAGAATTGTATTTCTCTAATGATCAGTGCTCATGAGATTTTTTCATGTTTGTTGGCCTCATAAATGTCTTCTTTGAGGAGCAGACACTGGACATCTTAATTTCACTGGCTCTTGTGGAATCTTGAAAGTCAATTTATCTAATATGGATCCTATGTTTTTCTAAATTTGCTTCTACACATGTTTTGATGCAATGAAAATTAATGCTCTTATTCTCTCTAAGCCCCTTTTCACTCAAACTCAATTTTAATATACTGTAAATACATATTCCTTATGTTAGCTTACATATTGATCAAACCCATAAACATTTATTTAATTAAAGTCATCTTGTTTTAATATTATTTTACTATTCGTCTTAACTGTTATCTCAGGTTCCATTCTATTCTTCTGACAGTAATTTTCCATTTAAATATTACCTGTTAAAAATCACTATCCTTGGTTAGTTATAACAGAAATAAACATCTTAGTATGACATACAAGACACTTTATTTCATCTGCAAAAGACACTCTCTAAGCCCAAGTTCGACTGTGATGAACTCTTGTTAGGACTTGTAGCAAACCCTATTTGCTCATAAGGTGGCAGTAAAGCATTGCTCTTTAGACCAACAACTTTGACAATACTCTTGGTCAACTTGTCATATAACAGTATGATTTTGGGAAAACTGCTAGATCTCTATAAGCTGCAGATTTCTCATCATCTAATGTGATAATATCCTTCTCCCCAGGAAGATGAAACCTCCTAACATAATCCAGCCTTGACGTTTATTCAGGTTCCACATTGGATGAGAGTACTGGGAAATGTTTCTAACTAATGGAATATTTGCAACTAATGAATGGACTAAATATTACTCTTCTAATCCTATGGAGTTTTTTTTTTTTCTTTCTGATTAGATTATTTTTACCCTGAGAAAGTTAATTCAGAGAGACAGACTTGTGTAAACTGTTTTCCATGTATTTTCCGAGCAAAAATTTGGAATGAGTTAGATATGGGTCTATGTAGGCTGCCAGAAAGTCATTATTATTTAAAATAACACAAAAACAAAGAGACAAATGTATACCACAGTTAATTTTCTTTAATTTAAAATTTATTGATTAATTATTATTGTTATTTTCAACAAATCATAATTGTGTACACTTTCGGGGTATAATGTGATGTTTTGTTATATGTATAGAAAGTGGAATGATTAAATCCGTCTAATTCACATATCCATCACTTCACTTATTTTTTTGTGGTATGACGTTGCAAATTTACTTTCTTAGCTATTTTTAAATAGCTAACATGTTTTTATTAAGTATAGTCATCCTTCTGTGCAGTAAATTTTATAAGCCTATTATTTTGTGTAACCGAAACTTTGTACAATTTGATAAACACCTCCTCATTCCTTCCTCCCCACTCCTACTTCTAGCTTCTGGTAACCAGCATACTACTCTCTACTTCTACTTCTAAGAACTTGACCTTTTAACATTCTGCACTTAAGTGTGAGTATGTGGTGAAAGTGGGCATCTCTGTCCTTTTCCCTATCTCAGAGGAAAAGCTTTCAGCTTTTCACCATTAAGTATGATGTTAGCTGTGGGCTTGGCATATATGCCATAACTGTGTTTAGGTACATTTCTTCTTTTTTTTTATTTATTTATTTTTTTTATTTTTTTGAGACGGAGTCTCGCTGTGTCTCCCAGGGTGGAGTGTGGTGGCCGGATCTCAGCTCACTGCAAGCTCCGCCTCCCGGGTTTTTACGCCATTCTCCTGCCTCAGCCTCCCGAGTAGTCGGGATACAGGCGCCCGCCACCTCGCCCGGCTAGTTTTTTTTTTTTTTTGTATTT